TGTGTGAAGAGCTCCACGGATTGGTCAAATGGGATGAAAAAAAAGGAAAAAGAAAAACCTCCAACGAGGCGTTCTGGGTCAGCATAGACAGGTCTTTTCTGTGTTAGAGTTTTACTCGCTACAGGGTGTACTTTGAGGGTTTGTGACTCTGCAGACCGTTTACATGCAGAACAAGCTACATAACACACAGGGGGCGGGTAATAACCGGAAAAGCATGACATGGGACCTTTAAGACTCCTTAATGCCAACTGGATTAAAACAAAATAACCAGCAAAACCATTAGTATACCTGTCTGTAAGACAATGTAAATATTTTAAGACTTTCACAGGCTCATTGGTGACTCACTGCAGAGGCTATGAAGGCATTAGGTTATCCAATAAATTAGCCCCTGCAGGTCCAAAAAAAGAATGAATACTAACCACTCTTGAATATCTTGAAAGAATAAAATAACACATACCTGCTTGAGCGTGAAGATGTGCTGGTTGATGTAACACTGCAGTCTCTCATTAGTGTAGTTGATGCACAGTTGCTCAAAGCTGTTTGTCTTGAGGTTCTCAAATCCAAACATATCCAGGACACCGATCGACAAACACTGAAAACAAGACAATTCAGAACCAACATGCATACTAGAAACAAGACAGTGTAATGAATTACTACAGTAGGTCTGCGTGTGAGACTGCTAATGCTACTGCACACTGCTTAACCAATGTATGCATTTTTCATGAATAAAGCCACTTTGACATCAGGTACACGAGTACACAAACATTTTATGATTACTTTTTCAATGTTGTAAAGGAATGTGCTTCAAAACTTTATATATCGTGCTTTTACTGCATTTATTTCCCAATTTTAGTGACAACAAAGACAACAATTGATGATACTTTTTTTATATTTGAATATATGAAATAAATGTTCCAATAGGCAGGTTAGGAGGATCACTAAAAAGCGTTTAACCCTCTCCCATTTCACAAAAATGTCAGCTGCCTACATTTTTCAGTATTGTAGTTTTTGGCTGTATTACTTACAGAGACGGACTCCTCCATGTCTCGTCGGTTGAGCATTGCGTGGTTGATGTGGAGGACGATCCAGTCAAACAGAGCGCCGTATAAAGACTTCGCCATGGAGTCCCGCACTTTGTAGGCCTAATGTTGCACACAAAGCAAAGGACTGCTTTAACTCAACGAAAGACCAAAATCAAACATATCATCCCCTAGTTTATAGTTCATTCTTAACTCTGTACCTCTTGGAGTGTGTACGGTGAATCTACGCTCTCCGTGGCCGTCACTTCTCTCTTCTTGGTCAAAGTCTTCACCAGAAGCTCCTTTTTCACCTGGAGAGAGAAATATATACAGAGGGTTCCACTACACTGTTACACAATATGCATACCAAATTAAATCACGTCTTATGACTGTACTTGATCAACAGAACAGGTTGAAACATGTTTACAGAAATAACAATACAGGACTAATTTTAGGCATAGCGATGACACATTTAATCTGTGGGAGTTGCTCTGGAAAATGGAAATGGAAATAGAATGCTATGAATGAAGTTTTTCATGGTTTATATGCAAAGATTTATTCGTAGCATTCTATTTCCATGTAAATTACTACTTTATTTTATTGCTATTTAACTGTATTTTATTACGGTGTAAAATATTTTCTGTTTTATATTAGATTTCTTGTTTTTTATATTTTATGTATGCACAATAACATCAAGTCAAATTCCTAGTATGTGCGAATCTACCTGGCAATAAACCTGTTTCTGATTCTATACACAGAGTGCAAATATAATGATGTGACAGTGATTTCATCCAAAGTGTTAGAGCACTGGAAACATTGGGTCTGCAATTATTATAAAAATTGCAATATGGACTACAGAAATACGGACTTAATAAAAAAATCTTTGGTACAGATCCTCTTATAAAATAAAAAAATCCCAATATGATCATTTTAAATATATCCATGAGAATGAGATGCAAAAATTATCAATTCCTCCTGTATCGTAACCATGTCGTAACTCATACAGCAATTAAAATATTAGTCAAATAATTACAATACGTTATTTTTTTTTTCCATAATCAATCCAGATGATGATTTAGCACACAGAATACAAAATCAACCGTTTCACTTCAGTACTTTGAGCAGGTCGGACAGTGTGGACAAAACGTCTGCCGGTCCGACCTCCAGGACTTCTGCGTCCTCTGACTGCGAATACGTCACATTTCCCAGGTGCAGGATGGCAGAGAGGATGGAAAAAATACTGCACAGAAGAAAAACAGACACACAAACAGATGGTTTATTTCTGCCTAAAATGCACACACTGGATTTGACTTGCTGTGCATTTTGAGTCACAATATCCTTTTTAATATACAGTATACCTCGACCCTGAAAGCCTCACTTGAGATATTATTTAAAGCTCTTAAATACAGTTGTTTTGTGCCGCTGTTATTTCGTGTTTACATTGATGTTTTCCTGTGTATTTGCATTTCAAACATGGGACATTTCAATCCTAGATTTGTAAGGTGTTGACAGTTTGCTGCATATTTTATAAGAGTAGTTAAGTGCTTGTGATCTAGTGTGCGAGAGAGAGAGAGAAAGTGACGATGGATACGTTCAGAGCAGAGAGAAAACAAACAGTTAAGTGGTAGTAATGGACGGTTCAGGTTTCAGTCTGTCCATTCATAAGTCCTGCAGATCAAACAGGTGAGCTTCTGCTTCGTTACAGGAAGTTACAGTGTGTCCTTTATTTAAGAGCAACATTGTTAGACATTCTTGATAGACATTACATGCCTCCTTAGGGTAACAACATGCATGTTGAGAGACAGTGAGTTAGATTGACTTGCAGTAAAAGTAAAGAAAATGTGCCTTTACAGAATATTTAAAGTTAATTTTATGGACTTAACTTAGCGTAAGGAAGTCTCCACTGTATCTACATGTATGTCACTTCACTGGAGGTGTTTGCTAAGGAATTCATGAAGCCCTTCATTTTGTATAAGTCACTTTAATTACAATTGTACTTTGTCTGTAGTTTCTGACTTTATATATGTTATGTTTCTCACTGCACATTGCTCTGTTAGATGTTAGATTGTTATTCACGAGGAGGATGCACCTGAACACATTTCAAACTGTGCTGCCATGCTTTCATGTGTACGCCGTGTCCCGAGGCCATCAGGCACTTTCTGAAATACTTGCTGCATTTTTCTCCTGCTTGACAAGCTCTGACCTGTTCCTGACACCAGCACGCCGTGTGGAAACTCTACAAGTCAAAGAACAAACTGATCCACATGACTACATCATGATTAGATTGGTAGAGCTAACTCCCTGTAAACACTGACTGAGAGACTGAGTGTTGTTGGACCTCATACAGCAAATATTTGTCTTTCAAATATTTCTGTAATTCGTGGCTCTCTCTTCCCAGTGAGAAGCCTTTATTGTAATGATATATGTTTCTCAGACAGGCTAAAGCCCCAGGCATGTGCTGCTGTGTCTTCGATCAGAAGATTGATTGACTACTTTTTTACGATGTTGTATTTTAGTGTTGCCTCTGTGTTTAGTGTCCTGTCTGTCTGTAACTTTGTGTGGTAGTGTTACCACTGAACAGGTCTCTCTTGAAAATGAGACCTTGTGTCTCAATGAGATTTTACACCTGTATAAATAAAGGCAAAATAAAAAAATAAAAAGGGGAAGCGGCTTTTAGTCAATGGGAGCCAGAGCCTTTTCTTATCAAGCTCCACTTTTGTGGAATCAGCTTCCAGTTTGTGTTCGGGTGGCAGACACCCTATCCGTTTTTAAGAGTGCGCTTAAGACCTTCCTTTTTGATAAAGCTTATAGTTAGGGCTGATTAGATTCAGCCCCTAGTTTTGCTGCTATAGGCTTAGACTGTCGGGGGACATCTTACTTCTTCCTTCTCTCTGTCTGTACCTGCGTACTCTCATGTTCCGAATAACCCAGCTTCCCACACATTTCTTTTTGGTTTCTATCTATGCCGGGATCCTGAGTTGTGGCTGATCCTGAGTCCTGATCTGAGTCCTGGACTTCGAGTCGTGGCTGAACCTGTCTCTGCGGTCCTGCCTGACTCTCACCATACTACTTCCCTGATGGCTCCCACAGGATTGTTGACATCCTCGTGGATTCATCTTCTTACTATAGACACAAGATTTCCAAACATTTGGTCTACCTATGTTGTAAATGTATTATCTTTTCGATTTACAAACGGCATCTACTGCACGTCTGTCCGTCCTGGGAGAGGGATCCCTCCTCTGTTGCTCTCCCTGAGGTCTCTCCCATTTCCCCTTGATTGATTGATTGATTGATTGATTGATTGATTGATTGATTGATAGTCATTAGGCAGCTCAGCAGTGTGACGACTACTGAGGAAACCTCAACAATTGCAATGTTTTAATCTAGATATTAAACCTTATTATTCCTAAGCACTTTTGATTAAGGCCTGCAGCATACCAGTTGTGTCGTTCATTATGAAATCATACTCACTGTTTCTTGGTGGAGCTCAGGAAGCCAACCATCTCCATAGCCTGATGGAGCCTCTTGTACTCTTGCCTAAGTTTCTCCTTATCATCCAAATGGAGATCATCCTGAGGGACAATCATATGGGATACGGATAGAAACACGGGGTAAATGTTAAGCATAACCACAAATAAACAATGTTAATCTAATGTTAATGTCAACATAAAATCGATAATGTAGAAACACGAATAACAGAATCATCTCTTTTTCTTTTTTTGTGTTTGATTTTCTGTATCGAAAATAATTTATTTTCCTGTTGATATTTCTGGTTTTATTATCTCCTATGCTCAAACTTTTTTTTTTTATGGTTTCAATAAATAAATGAACTTGCCTATAATGCATTTTAAAGTTGCTATTCAAACCTGTAAATAAGTTTTAAAAGCAACATTTTTAGTTTTTTCCAAATGAGTTGAGTTTGAGTTCTTTAATGTAAACATGGAGTTAAATTCTCAACATAATAAAATGATTGTGAGTGAAAGCAGTTGCTCTATAATTCTGTTTAATGTGACGTTGGACAGTTATGTGAGTGTCTGTTAATCCAAAGCAGAGGCAGGACTTTGACACACTATGACGTTACTGCTGAGAAGTTTCTAGATATTGTGGGATTGTTTCTATAAAACATCTACCAGCAGTTTACATGCGTTTCATAACAATTAAAGACACATCCTGTCTCTGCTGCTGTAAAGTGTTTGGATCAAAGGTACCTGCTTGAGGTAGAGATAATCCTGCGGCTCTAACAGACGAAACTCCTCTTTCTCTTCTTTCGACGCGCCCACCAGCAGGTAATAAAACACGTGGTAGTTCCTGCGGGTCAGAGGTCACGCAGCACAAATACACCCATGCTATGTTATTGACACAACATTTCACTGAACACAAAAGTTTTTAATGTTGTCTGCTTTATGTTAGAAGGTTCAAAGTGCAGGTACAATTTGGTGGTAATCTAAGTGAGGTTAAAAAATACAATGTAAATCAAATATACCTCTCTCTTTGATCTCTGGACACCAGACGGCACTTTTCTAGAAGGTACTTCTCGATAACTGCCCTGCAAGAGACGCACAAGAAGAGAATGTCAACAAAGCCTTCGAAGCCTTGCTGTGGTTGCCAACACTGTACCATTATGACATAGGAAGTAAAATATTGATAAATAAATCAACTGTGCTGTGTGATTCACTACTGAAGCTCAGTGAGATAAATGTAAAACATGAAGACGTACCCTCTGATGACACCGCTCTCCAGATAGTTGAGCTGGATGAACTTCCCAAAGCGACTGGAGTTGTTATTCTCTGCTGTCTTAGCATTGCCAAAGGCCTGTTTAAAACATAGTGGACATAAGTTTTCACTTGAATAAACAGACAAGAGTAGCAATGTTTCTCACAGACACTGGCACCCACACCTAAACATTGGAAAGGGCAGCGATCAAATGTTCGATGGCAGGAGACTTTTCTGTTGCCAACCTGACGAGACATTGAAGATCAAGTTGGTCTGACTCTAAACTACAGCTGAAAATATTATTTCTTCTAAGGTCTTTAAAATCTCAAAACATTTTGAAATATCTCCATTAAATCTTCCCAGAGCCCAAAATTAGGTTTTCAAATTCAGATAATTTTCTTCATATAATAAGGTGTCATAACTCTTTATCAATTGTTAAAAAATTCCTGTTACTTTGCTAGCTTTATTTAAATCAAATTATTAATTCATCTCCTAATTGTTGCAGATTTACTCTGTCAACAATAAATCCATCAGGTCCCAGGGTTTATATAGTTCAAGGAACTGTAAGACATTATGTACATGGGTACAGTGAGAGGCGGTGGCTCAGTGGTTAGTGCGCTGAACTTGGAATCAGGGGGTAGTTTGAGTCCCACTGCAGTCAGCATGTCGTTGTGTCCCTGGGCAAGACCCTTCACCCCAAATTGCTCCTGATTGCCCACAGTACTGAATGTATGCAAGTTGCTTTGGATAAAAGCTTCTAACAAATGACATGTAATGTAATATTCTGTTGTTGCGGTTGGCTTATCAATTACCGTAGCTATCTTTACAATTGATTAATTTATAATTTTTTTAATTAATAAAGCACTGCCTACATTAATTGAGTTCATGTTAGTTAGTATTTATGGTTTGTTTTGTTTCATACCATGAATGATATCTGATTAAATGAATAACATATCTCTGATGTTCACACAAAGTTTGCAATTTAAAAACACATTTGATCCAATTAAATGTTCTTAGAAATAAAAAGATTGATTGAAAAGAAAACTGCTAGAATAATGGAAAATTAAGATAGTCATCAATTGCAAAAATCTACTTTCACCATCTAAATAGCGACACAAATATGCAAGGGGCATTTGGTACATTTGGTTTATTCACCAGCCAAAAAACCCACATCATTTTTGAGTGACAGGTAAAGCATGAAGTGTTACAGAAAGGGATCATGTTGCACCCTGGTAGCAGATCATGAGGAAACGTGATGACTGCCCTCACATTTGCATGGATTGTTATTCTGTAACTGGAGACGGTATCTAAGGTTGAACAATAACACAACAGACTCCGCCTAAAGTCACCACCAGGTAAAATGACGTAAACAGGATTATGAGCGCCTGTACTTTCCAGGTTTCCCAAAGCAAAAGAAAAAAACTGAGCAAAGTCTGCATCTACAAAGGTTTTGTTCTCCCCTCATTCCAGTGTGAGTTGTGCAGATGTTCGTGTCGAAACAGGCCAGAGCAGCGTTCGCACAGTGAGCTCGACCTGTCCTGCACACGGCACTGATCTCTGACAGGTAACACTCTGAAAGGCAGGAATGTTCCTCCCTGTGCTCCTCTGTGAGTACAGTGCATGTTTTTTCATTTTCTACCAGATCAATCAATCAAAATGTAGTTGAAAAGATATGGATGGCATGTGGAGAGAAGATGGTATGTGGAAGAGGGAGAGAAACAGGTGTTCGCCACGTCCCGTTTCAGGGGATAAATCGTGGGAGGGAGACCATCATGAAGAAGCCATCTCCCCACTAACAGAGATAGAAACTAATGATGCATTTAAGTAGAACTGGTCTGCATGTAAACACAGACAATTCCAAGATTATCATCAGGGGTTTACCCTGGAGAAACTCCTGAAAAGGTGGGAAATACCAAGAAAAACTGGGCTAGGTTGGATAATCCCCAATTTGTCAGAATAAGCTGTGACGTCTAACAGATGATGGACAACTTCTTTTGAACTGTGACAAACTGTGACAGTTTACAAACTAAGCAATCCTCAATCAATTGAGGAGATCAGCAAATTACTCAATAAGGGAAATAATCGCTAATAATATAAGCCCTATCTAAAAATACAAACAAATTACAATTAAATAAGCAAACTAAAATAATTAGCAGAGGGTCGGAAAAAACCACATTCCTGCCAGGACAAACCAAAAATAGTTCTGCTTTCTTATCCTGTACATTGTGTTGGGACTCCATTACTTAGTTGCAGCCCCTTTATTGGCCATAAATGGTCTAGTTCTTACAATATGGGGCGGGGCGGAGTGGCGCAGTGGGCTGTGCGTCTGATAATCAGATCAAGGGGGGTGTTGGGGAACTCCAGTTCGAAACCCGCCACTGCGTCAGGCCGTTGTGTCCTTGGGCAAGACACTTCACCCGAATTTGCTCCTGAAGGTATTGTCCACAGTACATGTATGATATCAATGTGTTCTTGTAAAGCGCCTTGATGTCTTCGAGGTGTGAAGATGGGCGGTGTGGCGCAGTGCGCTGTGCATTGATTATCAGATCAAGGGGGCGAAACCCGCTGCCGCTGCGTCTGTAAAGCCGTTGTGTCCTTGGGCAAGACACTTCATCTGAATTTGCTCCTGTGGGTATTGTCCACAGTACATGATCATTACATGTATGTATGTGTAATGTGTATTTGTAAGGAGCGCTTTGAGAGTCATTAAAAAAGCGCTATAATAAATATAAGGATTATTATTATTATTATTATTATTATTATTAAAGCAAGGGTTGGAAATGAAAGACTTGTTTTCACCATAGGTCAAAACTTGCGTGTACGAAACATTTGCATAAAACAACAGACTTTTCACAACATAATGATTTAAAGAAATACACCTTCTCTGGTACGACTTGAAACCTTCTAAAGTTACTACTATACTTATGTCCTCATGTGCACAAGTGTACTACAACTGTTTAGGAGTCTACTAGAATATATACTAGATAGAGGTAGACTCCTGGTTCGAAGATCTGATCTCTCAAGTACCAAGTTAAACCACAATTTGTAATTGTGCAAAAGGTTATTTTATTAGTTAGCTGATAACAAAAACTATTCAAGATGGAGAACTATATTGTAATATTAAGTTTTTAAATTACTGTATAGACCGATGGAGATAATCTACCTACAAAAGAGTATCTGATCGTGACTCTTGCTCCTGATACAAGATAAACATCGGAACAATACACCTTATTTATAACGTAAGTAGAGTGATGAAGACTGTCGTATTTCTTACTTCTATGACCTTCTCCTTCATTTCATACTTTAGCCGTTTTAGCATTAATTAATGCATAACCGTATAAGTTAAAACAGGTACACACATATATCCTTATAGGTTATCTAACATAAAAGTATATAGATCAATTAGTCCGTACACTTCATAGACGATCGGCGTACGGCATCACGATCAGACACTAGCCTTACATGACATCTACTGACGGAGTGCCGGTCTGTCGTAGTCCATCTGCGTACGACCTTTGTACCAGAAACTTTTACAGTGAAACTGCCAGATTTCAGTTCCGCGCTCACGGCGTCAAGAGATTTAAGAGCGCAGTCGGATGTGCCAGTACAGTCTCCTGAGTAGAGAGCCCTCACCGAGCTCCACTCTCTACGATATCATGCTTGGACTACGTAGGTTTTCGCCTCTTGACCTCCCGGTCACCACCATGTGTGAGTCTAGTTGGAGGTTCATGATGAGAACACGAGATAGGAAGATTTCAGAATCAGTAGATACAGTATTTATACGATCGTTGTCACATAAGTATGACGCGATCTTTTAGATTAAATGTGTACCTTCATCATTTACGGATTGTATAAGTTTTAGTAAAGTGTTACAAACAATTACAACCTTTCGGATGATCACTGCATACCCGGCTCAGCGAGAACAGAATATACACACATACGACAGAACATATATAAACTAACGTTACAGAGGCAAACTATTCGGTACCGAGGACACACCGTACACCAAAGTGTAGTGAATTGGAGGAAATAAAATACACGAATGTTCGGTCCATTGTACAGAGATTGTTATTCTCTGTGAATTCGTAGTCAACCTATCGGAACAATAGAAAGTTCCTTTTTAGACCCGAGTCGCATGACGTCCACGGACTCCTCCGGCAAACTTCGTCACTTACGATAACCAGGAGAGACCTCTGCGGTTTGTGTCCCGACGGGGCTTACTCTAACTTGTCAGAGACCACGCTACACCTCTCTAGATTACGGACGGACGACGGCGAGAACTGTTCTTCGTTTCTTTGAACGTTTCATGTAGTACGTAAAAAAAGTAATTTTGGACCAAAGTTCACTTTTACCGCCAGATGAGTTGTTACAGTGTCCACGAAATTTTCAACTTCAACACACTATCGCACTTACTATGTTGACAATAGAGTTACAGAATCAGGACAGACTCACCTTGTCTTCATACTCCCTCAGAGTCACACTCGACCTCTCGACGAGTCTTCCTATCCGGTCGCAGAACTCGTGACTCGAGAAGTTTGACGCTCTAAGGATACTCACTTCGAGTGACCAGTAGACCCGTATGGTACACTTCTCCCTGCTTAGAAGTCCCAACTTATAGTATAATTCCACCCAGATGTTACCGTATAGTATGGATAAAGTCCACGGTGTTCACTTAGAGTACGAGAGGTATGGTCTCACTCTACGACTGGAGTGACTCGTTTAACGCCTCCGCCTCGTTTTTCGTAGTACTCAATCCTCTTTCCGGCGTTCGTCGACCGCGTTCTTTTCTCACTCCTAAGTCAACGGGAGCTCGCTCTCGTCTCCATTGTAGGAGTTAACAGGGTTTCGAAAAAAGACGTAGTAAAAGTAACTCAAAGTTCAAGGGCGATCTCCGTAAGAAAAATTTCAGGAAGGACTAAAGGTAGATCCCCAGAGAACTCGTACTCCTCCCTTCTAATTTCTCGGGTTGAACTCAAAGTTGGTCAATTCCGTCTGTACCTCGCATTTGATAGCGGCCGGGATACTCTCTGCGCTCGCTCTACGCTCGTCAGGCGTTAATCCTTGGACGTCTACCTGGTACTTGAGTGGGACGTCCGAGA